ATAAATGTAAGCTGATGGTTTGAATTTCATTTATCAATTACTGTTATAATAAACAGACTGTTTATATAATATAGTTGCAGACTGTTGATCATTTTCCAGGTTTAACTTTTCAAGAAAAATGAAATCATGGTACACGTATGGTATTAAATCCCATTTCACAAGAAATTGTCACTAAATAATAGAGACATGTGCAAGATTGTACTGACTCTACCGTATATTTACCTTTTAACTTATAAACAAAAGTTGCTATTCGAAAAGTTCTAAGTCAAGCAAAAGTTGAAGCTAAATGTCTGTAAAGCCAAATCTATTCACAGATCCAGAGAGAACAATTACTTCTTCCTCATATGCACTCTCAAAATATGGTGAAAACAATCTCTTGAAACCTCAAATTTTAAGTGCATAAGTAGTTACATTTAAATAAATATTGTACTTCCACTGGCAGACAAAAAAAGTATTCTTAGCAATATTTTACGGTAGCAGTATTTATTCATTTAGAAAAAGTAAATTACTTTCTATATCACAATTTCTTTTTATTACAATGTAACTTATATATCTGTAAAGAATTTAACAGCAGTGAACACTATATAAAAAGTAACAAGTCTCCAATTCACAAACATACAGACCTAATCTGGCATCTAAGGGCAGCACTGCATCTGTGTACTTCCCCCTAGGTCCTAATAGAGTTCCTGAATCATTTCTTTTTTCTTGAAATTAAAATAACTAGGCAGTAATTGGAATACATCAAAGTGAAGCTCAAGTCTAAAGCTGTTTACTTCCAACCATGCTACCAGATCCCACATGGAGCCTGGAACTATTTTAGAATATAAAAAAGGTAGGTAAATATGAACAAGCCTTTTGCTTTAAAATGTACATAGAAAACAAGACACACTGAGAAATACTAGGAAACATCTTGAAAGGTTAAAAATGATGCAGGGGAGGAGACTATGTCCATGCAGTATACCGTTAGCCTTTGGGAGTATGTTCGGGTTTTGTCTCTATGGGCCACTAGAGATAAAAGTCACGTTTGGTTTTAATGGTAGTACATATTTTGCCTCACTGTATTTCTCAGATTATCAACAATGTACTGTCTGTAAAATGGATTTTCTACTAGGTTTTATGTATTGTGATTTTTAGGTTTCACACCTAAGCTCTCTTCATAAGTCCACATTCTTCAATATAATTGGGAATTAGTTTTATTTTCTTTTAGCCTTTACTAATTTCTCACCACCATTATGGCAGTCATTTTGTTAGAATATGATTTGTTTTCTCAAAATTATAAATATGATCACCAAGGCGGGGGGAAACATTTTAAATAATCAGCAAAATGGTTTTCCATTCTCAGATTGGAACATTTAGCCCCCTGAAGTATGAAATTTTTAATGATGGTCCTATATTTGCCCCACAGAAATACCAAATAAATCTGAAAAACTATTCTGGAAATACTTAGCATCTGCAAAACAGTATAACATACACTTTCAAAAGTGTGTAAACTCTTCACGGGATTATTGATGCTGCCCACTAACTCTCTTACTGAACTTTTTGTCTTTATTAACTTTGATAACAGTACCTAAAAGCTTATTTTACATTAGTTTCATTTTCACCACTTTAAAGTACCCAGACCTAAGAAAGAATACATATTTCCTGCACACTGAAGAAAATTATCAATATTTAATGTAGATGTTGCATTAAAACCATGCAACTGTTTATCTAACACTTCAAGACCAGAATTTCAGTGCATGTGGAATTTTTCCAATGTTTCAAAAAAGAAAAAAAGAATGAACTGTTTTGGATTGGTATATTATACAATCCCTTCTGAATTTCAGCCTCAACAACTGTGACATACAAAGACTTGTAGAACTATGGAAAGTATGTATGTCACCTTGAGCTTCTGGAAAAAGGTGGAATGCACACATACACACTGCTGTTTTATTTAAAAAAAATAACATGTCCTGGTCATACCAAGTTTAAAAGACAGGGAGGAGAAAAATGGGTCTCTAAATCCTCTAAAAATTAGAATACTTTCAGCATTTGATTAATTTTAAGGGTCAAAAATACTACATAATATAAAATCACTATATCATGATCTACAAATTATAGTGCCTAAATTCCATAACATATTAACCCAGATAACTCACATTATTGCTCAGCATGTCATGTGAACCAGATCACTAGGCTAAAAATTTAAGTAAAACAATTCAGATCTGAAATAAGATAGACATCTATTAATAATGTATACTTCCATCTATTTTATTCTTCAGACTTCCATGATTTTGGATATATAATAAGCACAGTTGTCTTCTTATTCTAAAAACTCCACTGACTTAATTGGGAATTGATAACTGATTCTTATCAATATTTTAAGCAGCATGCTAAGATTTATGTTTTTCTGCAACAATTATTCCTTTGTAATATGATCAATAAAATACTTATACAGTTGAAAATAAATTAATGGATGTAAACAGCACTATCCTTTTAACTTTTCTAAAGTTTGCTGGTAAAGCTGAGAGTATTGCTGCCTAAGAACACATTAATTTGTAAAAATTCAAATACCAGTTAAGATGTTAGCTAAACTGAAATCATCTGTTTAAAAAAGCTACACGTGCTCTTTCATTTGATTTTTATAGCCGGAACTATGCTATTTATATAAGAAAGAAAAGTTCATAATACTGCTGTTCAACTGAAATAAACTTTAAACATGAACAGCACAATTTAGCACTAAGTTAAATCAATGATAAATGATAACATTTATATAAGAATAGAGATTAATGTTTCAAGTATGCATAAAAATATTCAACAAGATTAAAACTACCTTTAATAGCATTTATAAGATGCATTTTAAAAAATCAAAAGATAAATCTTGCATGTACTACTTCTGACCCATCAACCTAAATATATTACTTTAGCTACAGATTTTGTTCTAACAATTCTTAGTAAACTAAGTTTTAAATAAGCATTAAAATATGCTCTGCAATCAGCTTGGCTAAGCCAACTAGACCAAAGTGATACAATTCCTAAATAAAATAAAAATGTATCTTTTACTAAATGAGTATCCTTATGATCACTGATTTCTGAAATTGAAGCAGGTAATCAGTAACAAAATGTTGCTTTAAAAATGTAAGTAGCTGTATATACATTTTACTTTGCATTTATCTTCTTGCATTCCTTATAGTCATGTACTCTTAGTAGTATTATCACTAGGCAATATATTTCAAAAGCTACATTTTCTAAATGTGTAAAACTGTACAACCCTTAAAATTAGAACAATATATGAAAAGTCATGAAGTTTAATCTCATACTTAAGTTTGAGATGTAATATAAAATCCCTTAATCTTTTAGCAAGCAGTTCATGTTCTACAAATATTTTCCACCAACAATGCCCAAACCAAGATCATAAGAAACTATTTTGTCACAAACAATACATTAAAAGCTGTTGTGAAAAAGATGCCCATTTGGAAAAATCATTTTAAACTATCTGCATAATTTTCTGCTTTGCAAAAAATCCTACAATCAGCCTTTACTACTACAAAATTCATGTGAATTTTTCTGCATCTATAGTCCAAAATTATTAAATTATCTAGGTATTGGCATCAGAAACATTGTATCTGTCTTCAAAGGTGTCAGATCATTGTATCACTATGTGAGCTTATACTCTGGGGCGACTTTCTTCTACTTGTCAGACAAGAGCATCATAATGAATCAGAGGGAGGGGATGGGGGAAGAAGGCTGAATCTAGTAAGGCTAGTGGCTTTTAACAGTTTTTCCCATGAGAGAAACTTGTCTTCCACAATTTGCTGTCCAACATATAGCAAAACAAAAACAAAAAACCTAAAGGTGGCATTGGTATACCAATATGAAAAAGAATCAAGCAAAGTTTATCTCTTTCTTGATTCTTAAAAGAAGTCTAGATCCAAACGATAGCTTATCTATATATGATGAAATAAAATTTATTTGGCTAAAAATGGGACATGTGACTGATTATAATTCAAGGGAAAAAGTCCTAAGAAATCCATAATCAGAGTTCCCTACCTGCTCTACAAGTGAGAGATTTTGCTTTTACCCTTCATTTAAAATCAAACTCCTGACATTTCTGCTGCATGGGGGGGGGGGGGGTGTTTAAAGAGAAATATATTCTATATGCCAGTAAAAACTTCCTTGAACTTCCAAAAAAATCCCCCTGATAACTATCCCAAACAATAGTCTGTCACAGATCCATAAGTTTCCTAGCTTAGTTCCATAGATGCTCCTTCCTGAATGTGAAACAAAAAATGTCTCTAGTCAAAACGGACAAATAGAACCACAAACTGATCAATTATACACAGTGCAAGCTAAGTGTGCCTTAAAACAACACAACAGTTCACATGTTTTTGTCAAACCAATATCTGTTTAAGAACAACACTCTGCCCACCACCACATTCAGACAGAAAGAGTTAGCTGTGTGATCTTAACATTAACACTATCCGTCAGGGTTAGACCAGCAGCTTTTCTCCCAGCCTGTTTTGCTTTGTTTTTTTCCAGCAAAATAAGAAATGGAAAACAGAGATTTCGACTATAAAGACTGCTTATAATTCCTCAATAATTGCACAGCCCTATTGTGTTATGTGAAATAGGACTGCATACAAGAGAGCGCTCCTACAGGCCTAGTTGGCTCCCACAAGCTCTCTTGTTTGCTCCTCCCCTCCCGCCTCCTGCTCTCCCTGCACAACATCCATGACGTACCTTTATTTCTAGCATAGTGACTCTACGGCTCTCGCATTAGTAGGATTATTATTATTTACCCTAACTGCAGGACCCCAGACAGATGACTCCTGAGACAACACCTGCTCTACTTAACAAAACAACCTGGCCTGTTCTCGGGCAGAAAGCAGGAGTTTAAAAATTGCCCTTATTTTTTTTTTTTTAAGTTGTTAAAAAAATTGCGGGAAATTCAATTTTTAAAGGGCTGCTTGCAAACTTTCCCTAGTACATCACACCGCACCACGCCGCCTGGCCGCTTCTCTTACTAGGCTCTCATAGCTCCTGGGATGCTCCTTTCCAGTCCAGTCCGTACGCTTGGGCAGCAGCTGGGGAGGGAAAAAAACATCGCCCGTCACTAAGAGAGACCCCCTTCCTTTCCCCCCACCCCCAGAAAACAGCCCCCGGAGCGCCCGCCCGCCCCCCGGCGAGGGGGGGAAGAGGCGAGGCCGCCGCAGCCGCTGGCACTCCGGCAAGCGGGCGGGCAAGGGAAGAAACGCGGGGAAGGCGCTGCACCACTCACCTGCTTCTCGGCGACTTCTCGGATCAGGACCTGGAGGAGCAACAAAATGGGGGAAGAGGGTTAGGGGCACCGCGAGGAAAGTAGCCACATTCCCAGGCCCGGCCCCGGCGACGATCCTTACCTGCGCGGCTTGCTGGCAGGGTCCGTCCTCCAGAAAGCGAGCGATGAGGAAATAGAGCTCTGCAGAGGGGAGGGGGAGAAAAGGGGGGGAAACACACACACATACACCGTGAAAGCACGGGCGAGGCGAGGGGCGAGGCGGCCTGTAAGGCGGCAGTCCCGGCCCGGCACCCACTTACCCGCTCGCAGCTCTGCCGAGTGCCTGCCGCCGCCGCCGCCGCTAGAGCCGCCGTCCCCGGACATGGCGAGCGGAGGAGCCCGGCTCGCTCAGGCCGAGCTCCTCGGCAATGGGGCCCTGCAGCTGAAAAGCACGCTCCCCCAGTGGCTGTCACGGTTTCTTCAGCAGCAACGAGAGTCGGAGCTCCACCATTCGAGCCCCGGGTAGGAGGAGGAGGAAACAACAACTCGCAGCAAAACCCGCCGCTGCTGCTGCCGCCGCCGCTGCTCCTGGCCGTTTGCCTCAGCGCCAGCGAGCGCGATCCCTCCGCCGCGACAAAGAGTTCCGGCCCCCTCCCTCAAGGCGCGCACACCCCCTTGGCCCGCGCACCCCTGCCCCGCGTCGCCTTCGACCCCCCCAACAACCCTCCAAGGGCTGGGCTGCCGGTCCTCGGCGTGCCGGGGCAGGCGGGAAGGACTCGAGTGCCGGCTCAACAGTGGAGGGAAGAAGAAGATGTCGGAGCAGCAGAGGCGGGGTGGAGGGTGGGCGGGTAAAGCTCGCTCGGCAGAAAGGCGCTTTCTCTGTGAAGAGCTGGGAGGCCTCGGCGGAGGGATACCTCGCGCGAGAGGGGGGAGGGGAAGAGGCCCGTTGGCGGCGGTGGCGCTGGAAGTTGCTTAGTTTCAATGTAGCCGAAATAGGAACCAAATGAGGCAAAAATGCCCCCAGGGACCGTAGGCCTCACTGGGTGAGGCGGGCATGAGGAGCTCCACTTAGCCCTCGTTATCAGGGCCTTTTGGAAAGAGGGAGGGAGGAAGGTTGAGCAGAGTCCTGCCAGGGTCTCTTGCTTTCATGGCCCTCCTTGCCGCCTTTATATGGTACAGCTTTGCATCTGCTTGTAAGTTACCATGCCATGTATAAATATATACATATATATGTATATAGTTATATGTATATATTCCTGTGTGAGTGTTCCTCAGTATGAGTGGGAGAATCGGGGTGAGTGACAAATAAAATGTCTAGTTTTGCTAAGCGTTTTCGGTAAATTGTCCTTTGTTGTTGTTGGGGTTTTTTTCTCTCTGGTTGAGATAATGAATAATATCCTGTTATCAATTGTGCTTAATTTTAGCCTCAATATTCTTCCTGGTCGCTGCCAGTTTAGTAATAGGAGATGGTGGGCTTCCCCCCCCCGCCCCATTTTGTACGAACAATACAGTTTTATGAAAATGTATATACATTGAGAAGGATGGAATGGAAGTATGGTTGCATTTCTGGTGAGGTAATTTACAGCTAGATCAATAACAAACAGAAGCGTTAGGCGAGCTAAATAGTCACATTTCCTTTTTGTCTTTCATGCTGCATATAGGCAATGAATAGACTTAATCTGCCAAAAATGACTCCTTGTGTTTCATTGTGAAGAGCAGGTTTATTTATGTTCTGCCAAAAGCATACCGGTACCTATTGATTGTGTGAAGAATCTATGATTGGATGGTGAAAATAAGATTTTTTGTCTGTGTATTCTGCCTCCAATAAGAATGATATGTAGCCACTGAAATATTTGGGTTGCATTAGTTATAGGCCAATTACATTTACACTTTGATCAGTGAATATTTAACAGTAAAACTAACCTAAAATGCTCTTTTCTCCTTACTAGAAAACTGATGCAAGCTATGCATTTAATTAATAACCAGTTATAGTATTGCAGTCTGTTTATGATGATTTAAAATGAAGCTATAGATCAAGTTACTCAGAACTGGGCCCACAAAAGGAAACAGTTACTACACAAATGCTTGTTTTAGCATAAACTGTTGCTTTAAGAGGAATTATAGCAATAATGTTTCAGCTTCATTTTACACTAGAAAATATGTACAGGAAAATTAAATAAACTATTGTATGTAGTTAGTCCAACACAATTTAGGTTACATCTGGGGAGGGGAAAAGAAACATTGTATTTATGGTACTTTGATTAATATAATATAAACTAAAGTTACATGCATTTCAAATGTTACTTTTGTAACATTTTAACTGGTTTTGGTAGTATAATAAACCTGTTATATCAATCATGTTTGTACAACTATTTTATGGATTCCATTTCATTCTAGGTTGTAATATTTTCCTATAATATATATTAGAATACATATGTTACTTCCATTGCTCTTTTCCATAATTTTCTTTTAATTAAGTATTCTGTAACTTTATGATGTAGAAAATAAAAAGCAATTCTCAGAAATTGTGGATAGATTTAGAAAACGGTCATACCTCCTTTTTAAATTGCTTATGGATGCAAAATAAGCTTATTCTATTGAATTATGTTTATGTCAGATTGAGGGTATATTTAATTATTTAATATGGAAAGATTTATTTTTTTTATTTTGAAATTACTGTTTTAGTATTGCATGTTGCATAATCTATTTGAATTCATATTGCATAATTGAATTTATATACAAAAATAATTCTGTATCAAAAACATTAATCATATAAGTGAAGAGTTACAGACAAGAGTTGTGAACTTTTATTCTTTATTATTCTTGTATGCAAGTTATTTTTTCTTCCATAGAAAATTAAGTATTCTTTTGGTATTGTAACAAATTGAGATTACTGATGATATTTAGTTCTGAAATTATAACATATTTTGTTAATTCAGTTTGCAATGTAATTTTGTGTAAAGTACTTAATCTCAGTAAGATTTTCCAGGTTTCCTTACAAAGTATTGCTTTTGAATTTTATTTCTATCATTCTTGTTTTAGTTGTACTGATTCATTGTGATGTGATGATTCTTTGTGAGCCAATTCTGTTATAAATGAGCCTTGCTTTATATGAAGAACATTGTCTCTTTTAAATTAAAATGGCTGCTCAAAATATAGTATGTTATAATTGTGATTTTATAATTTTCTACAAAATCATATTGTATTTATGGGAATCTATTGTTGACATATGATTTTATTTTAAGTTTTCTAAATATGAGCATCTCATTTTTGGGGTCATTAATAGGATATTTATCATTTCCCATACATAATAGTACTGCTGGAGTATAACAGCTTACTTTATAAAGAAAATGACTTATCTTTAAGAAATTAGAAATATTAATCATAAAATAACATTCACTGTTCTTTATATCCCCTAACATTTAATGTTGAATAATTTGATTTCTATACAATATTTTCTGAAGAATATTAAGATAAAGTTCATGAATGAACTTGTATTCACTTAATTAGGACAATTATATGAACTCTTTTGTTAATACCTGTCATGCAAAACATATCTAAACTATAGTACAGTATTTAAATATGATGTATTTAGTCACATGATAATTCTGTAGGCCACATATAGGAATAAATGTTGGTTTAAATACTTTGTCTATTATAGAAGTCTTACTAAAAATTAGGGATTTATGCAATTTTGCATTGCATGATTTGCTTTCCAGTGCAGAAGTAATTATATCACAGCTTTTATGGCTTGCTTTGTAATAGGAACTTGTGGCACCTAATTTATTTGGATTTGCTTTGCAAATATGAATAGGATATTAGCAGTGAACTATTAAATATATGGGATAAAAAGCCTTTTTGTGAAGGGAAGAACTTTGATACATAAGCAAATCCTGAAAGGACAATGAAGAGAGAAATTTGTTCCAATTCCACCTTTTCTCCAACATTTTTGCACTATATCCCATGCTGTTTTTAAAAATGTCTAACTTTCTCTACCAGATGTTTGCCTAGTCCAGAGAGAATCAATTATGCTTCCCTGTTCTGTGTATAACAACTGCTTGTCCTTTTCAATTCAGCCTCTAGGACATTTGATTTAATCTAGAGAAATTACAATAGTTAAAAATTGCAAATGGCTGTACAGTATATACTTTAAACAGTTGTTCAAGACTTGAAATGTCAAAATCACTTCTAATAGTTCCGATCATTTTTCATAGAAAATATTTCTACCTAATTATGAACTTTCATAAGTAAAATGGATATTTGGGGGAAATGGTTTTTGTAAAATATGTCTGATATTATAAATTATATATGTGTGTAATATTGGTATTATATACCATTGAAGATAGTTTTAACACTTTCTATTTAATTTAAACATTACAAAATTATTTTAGATATACTATCAGTGCATTAAAATGTTTCAAGAAAGAATCCTTTACAAAACTCTGAAATGTAGATTCTTGCTATAAATGCTTAAAATTATTGTATAAAATACTTCTGCAAAAAAATTATCTTTTACCTGACACGAATTACATTTTTGAATTTCTACATTTTATAATGAAGAACAAGTGATAGTCAATCTGCATAGTTCAAGGTGTTGTTAGGTATTAAAACAACCAAACTAAGCATACTTTGAAGCATTATACTAGACATATTTTACTTTATTTTCAATAAATTAGGTAATCAGATATGATACCAATTAGTTTTTCTTTTCTTCATTATCTTTTATAATAATTTTCTTTTTGTAAGATGATGCAATATGTAGACCAGATGATTTACCATTTATATTTTGATGTATCTGTGAAAAGAGTAATGGTGATGCCTGCTATTTTTTGCCTCTTGCAATTGCCTATGATATTTTACTGTGGTTACCAGAAAAGCAGAAGGAACAAAAAACTTCATGATGATATAAGAAGTAGCAGTGTATTATATCCTACTGTAAACCAATATTATGAGACATTGTAATGATAATTTAAGTGTATAATAAAATGTTCCTGGTGTTTCCTGATTCAGCATGTCTGCTTTTAAAATCAAGACTTAAGTTTCTTATTTTATTTTATTTTTTAGAAGGGAATTTTCTTTTACTAGCACAAGATTCTGAGGGGAACCCTGAATGAAAACTATTAGTTTCAATAATAGTTATAAAATGTCGCTCATAGCAATAAAAATTTAAAAATTTGAACCTTTTATTTGTTTATTATGCAATTGATATTGTGTGCCTATTCAATTTTCTCTGGGCAGTTCAAATGAAATAATACACTTCTATCCAATAAATATAAAGAACAAAACAAGCAAAATTTGTCTAGTTCTTAGCTTATAAGACTTAAGTTATTGAGCCATAGAACATCATTTATTGCATAGCTTTTGAGATATTAAGAATCGCTTTGGAATAACTTTTAAAATATTCCAATCTGTCTAGAAAGCTTTTTAAAAAAACTTAGCCTTTGTCTAAGAAGTTAATTCAATTCATACTTTTCACAAAAGGATGATACATTTTAAATATTTTTAAATGATCATCACATTTATGTAGCTTAAATCTTTCAGCATTTTTCAA